GTATTTATAGCCGCTGTGCCGGAGACACGACTCCGGTCGTTCGGCATGTTCCCCACGTAGCCACCACGTGTCATCCTCCCAGGTGCCCTGCCTGTCGTCGTAGAGAGCCGCCACGTGTCGTTTACCAGCTCTCTCGCCAAAGGGCTACCGCTCGGCGGTCGACACTATCGCTCGGGCAACTCTCGATGGGACCCCGACCGAGTTCTTCGCATGAAGCCCGACCTGTTACCTGCAAAGACAAAAAAGAAAGGACAAGGGCAACTCGGTCGGGGTAAAGCTTACGTCGGTCGGGATACTTCCTACCAACCTTCTAGGTGGAAAATTTCAAGGGACATTTACCAAATTTACCTTGATGAAAGATTAAACCTTAAGAAGCTATTTAGACCTAACACTCAAAGGGTTAGTTTGACTACTGATACCTGGACCTCTGTGCAGAGGATCAATTATATGTGCATTACAGCCCATTTCATAGATGATCAGTGGAAGCTAAATAAGAAAATCATATCCTTTGTCCTTATTTCTTCTCACAAGGGTGAGCATATAGCTAAGACATTAGAGAGTTGTTTGAATAACTAGGGGATTAGGGATGTTTTTTCTGTCACTGTAGATATTGCTTCTTCCAATGATACTGCTATGGGTTTTTTTAAGTCCAAATTGTTGTCATGGGGTGCAACCACTGTTAGGAGTAATTACATTCACATGAGGTGCATAGCCCACATTTTAAACTTGGTGGTCCAGGATGGGTTAAGGTTTGTAGATAGTTATGTTAAGAAGGTGAGGGATTCTGTTAGATGGATGAGGAACTCACCTGCAAGACTCAAAAAATTCAGAGATCTTGCAGAACTGCATGGGGTGGAAGCCAAAAGTTCTTTACAACTAGATGTTCCAACAAGATGGAACAACACCTACATGATACTTAGCACTGCCATACAATACAAGGTTGTGGTTGATGCATATTCATTGAATGAGCCCTCATTTGCTGCTGATCTGGGTGATTCTGTCCCTTCTTTTCTTGATTGGACATCTGTTGAATTCTTGGTAGTTCTGTTGAAAGGGTTTTATGAGATGACAATTAGAATCTCTGGTTCTCTATATGTCACCTCTAACAGTTTCTTCAGTAAGATATCTGATTTGAGTTGCATGTTGAGTAGCATGATTGTTGCTGGTAGTGCTACAGAGGTAATGATTGTATCATTTTTAGTGGTTAATCTGATTATTTATGAATTTGTGTTTGGCTATTTGTATTTAATTCATTGTTTTCTTAGGTTATGCGATCCCAAATGAAAACTAAATTTGAAAAGTATTGGGGAGATCCTGAAAAAATGAATTCCTTGATCTTCTTTGCCAATATCTTGGACCCAAGAGATAAGTTGGAATATATGCCATACCAGTTTGAGGAACTGTATGGTAAAGATAATGGGAAGAAGTGTTTAGAGAATGTCCAAGCTGCCATGGTAGAATTGTTTGGTGACTATGCAGCAATCTACTCTGTCAATGTGCAACAATCATCTTCTGATTCATCTTTTGGTAGCCAACCAGATGTGCCTCCTGTCCAGTCGCCACAATTGGTAGACCTCAAAATATGTTAAAGAACAAACTAAAAAGGCAACAAATGGAGGCTAGTAGAAACTATAAAGAAACAGAACTTCAAGTCTATTTAAGTGAAAAAATTGTGGAGGACACTCCTGACTTTGATATCCTTAGGTGGTGGAAGCTAAATAGTGAGAGGTTTCCTACTCTCTCTCCAAAATGGCAAGGGATATCCTAGCAGTTCCTATTTCCACTGTTGCCTCAGAAAGTACATTTAGTACTAGTGGGAGGGTATTAGATGCATTTAGGAGTTCTTTAACTCCTAAAATTGTGGAGGCCTTAGTATGTGCACAAGACTGGATGATGTTACCAAATCAACCAGTTAAGGTTGAGGAAAATATTGATGATGTTGAAAAGCTTGAACAATGTAATTTATTTAAATTTTTCATTCTTTTTTTACCTTTTTAACTTTGCATTCAAATTCTAATTTATTTGTTTCTATTTGCACTTTGCACTTTGCAGACTTGGTTACTGGAGTAAGTCGATTTGGAACCACAGGATCTGGTGCTGCTGGTTTTCCCCTTCCTACCATTCCTGTAATGTTTTATTTACACTTAATTCTGATTTTATTTTCAATTGTTAGATTTGTTGGATTTGTTGCTGCCTATGGATTAATGGCTTGGTAACTAACTAACAATTCAATTGTTGGATTTGTTGCTGCCTATAATAAGTATGACCCATCAGGTATGAGTGAATATAACTGTATCAGCCTACTGCCTGTATGAATGTCATCTCATCTGGTAATAATAGTCACTCTACCTTAGTCCCTTATTCTCAAGTTCTCAGTATGTTATTTCTCTTTAGTCTTTACTGATTTGGCTATGATGATGCTTCCACCATTGTCTGAAATGGTTTTGGATTGGTATGTTGCTCATTAGTTTTGGTTTGCATAATTGCATTCCAATACTAAAAGTAGCAATTTGCCCCCAATCTTACTTTGACATGAAAACATAGCAATCTGAGCCTTCCATAGTTCCATTTTTCTGCCCAACAGCCCCAATCCCCAAACTATTTAATTGGTTATATTTAACTTGTGTTTTGTCTTTACACACTTGTACAGGAAGATCATGAAAGCTGAACTGCTGAAGGCTGAATAGACATTATGATTATGGTATTTTTGTTCACTGGAAGATGATGATTGGATTGATTGCTGAATGCTGATATTTGAATTTTTTGTCATTATCATTTATCAGTTTATCATGATTCATGTATGAGTATGAATGTCAGAATGTATGATTCAATGATTGTGTAAATCATTTTGTATTTTTGTCATTTGTAACTAGTTGTAACTAAGTACTTTGACATAAATGATATGGAATTTTAGCTAGTTTTTTACTTAAAATTGTTGAATATGAAATCCGAAGTTACCCGAACCGATATCCGAACCGTCCGATTTCCGAATAAAAAAAACCCGAAAGGAGTATAGTCCAAAAATAGTCGGATAGGACATGGATTAAGAAAACCAAAATCCGATCGGGTGAACTAATCCGGAAACCGAACCGTCCGAACCCGAAACGTGCACAGGCCTAAATATAATATTGACACTATTGAATTTACTGGCTAATACTATTAAATTTAGTGGTCGACTCAACTGCTAAATTCTGTGCATATTATATCGATCTAGATAAGAATATGATATTTCATTGAAAACAAATTACGGGGGGTGTATTCAATCATTACTTTTGTAGAGTTTTAAAGACTTTTAAAATGATAGATTTTAATAAACTTTGATTGACTTTCATAGAGTCGTTCAAAACTTTTTAAAACTTTATAAGACTCTATAAAAGTCTATATAAAAAACATTCATAAACTTTTATCAACTTCTTATTTTAAAAAGTCTACAAAAGTCATTGAAATTCTAAATTGAATACATCTTTACAAACTTTTAATGATTTTGATTCTTATCCTTTATATAATTTTCTTACAAAACATTTATAATATATCATAAAATTCTTTTTATTATATAGTTCTTCACCTACATCAACATTGTCAACATTATTATTTTTATCCAAGTATGCTGAGACTTATATATATTATTAATAAACATCAACAAAAAAAAACTATTTCATTAGAAATTCATAACAATATTGAACAATAATATTTATAATAAAAGAATTGATCAAATAAAATATTTAAAAATACACGAGTAATTACAAGTTTCATAAAACAAAAAAAATCTAATATTAATAATATATATATATATATATATATATATATATATATATATATATATATATATATATATATATAATTATACTTTATATATTGCTAGACATCACGCAAAGAACTATTATTTGCAATAGTAATTTGAGACTGCGAACAACAATAAGGTGCTACTGTTTGCAATTTCAAATTGTTGTTGCGAACAATAGTTCACTATTTGTAGTAACCTATTGTTAAAAAAAAAAAGGAAAATATATATTACGAATATAAACATAAAAAAAATATATAAAAATCAAAATATATAAGTATTTATATGAATCTTATGAAACATATACTAAAATTTGACGATGAAAAATTTGCTTTGTTCATGTATTTAGGGAGAATTAGAGAAAGTTAGAAATAAAAAATTCATAGAAAAAAATAAAAATCAATATAAACACGCAATAATGAAGTAAAAATAATATTATTTCGAATTTTTGGAGGAAGATTGTAAAGTTTAAGAGAGAGAAAAATTGGTAGAGTTTAGGTATGAGGAAAATATAGGATAATGAAGAAAAAATAATTTTATTAAATTTAGATAGGTTTATAAAGTTTAAATATAGAGAAAAAATAGAGTTTAAATAGAGAGAGAAAACATTCAAAGTTAGAAAGAAAATTTTGAAATCTTGGGGTTGATGGTTGGATTTCAACTATTTATATTTGAGAAGGAAAAGTCTACAAAAGTCCTAAAATTAAAAAGTCTACAAAAGTTCATAACTTTTTGAATACCATATGACTTTTAAAGACTCTTTAAAAATCGTGATTTAATACCGCCTGACTTTTAAAGACTCTCTAAAAGTTTGAATTGAATACTTCCAAATTTTTAAAGTTCATAAAAGTCTTTAAAACTCTATGAAAGTCATGATACACCCCTAAATTTTCAACATTGTGCAAGTTGAGTGCACTATATAAAAAATGCTTAAACTACTTCAATCATATGTTTACGAAACTTCCATGATGTTATACAATGGAATCTAATGCATTCATGTGTTGAAGTCAAAATAAGAAAACAAAAAAAAAGATAACAGATATTGTCAAATTGATGAAAAAAGTTGGTTATAAAAATCTTTAAGGAAGTTATAAATGAATTTCCTAAAAAACATCTTTGCCCCACCAAGCAACAGCTCTTCAGAACAAGTCAAGCGAAGACTCGAAAGTCTATTATGTCTAATTATATGCTTTCATCTATCCACACCATTTTTCTGCACATCTTTACTCTTCTCCTAGCTCCCAAAACCCCTCCAAGAAGTGAAGAAACCTTACCCATCTGGAAATTAAACAAACATATCATCAAGAAAGATGGATGGGAGAAGGTCTCTGGGGGAGAGGTTAGAGCTGAGAGAAGATCTAATCAAGAAAGCCTGCAGTTTCTCCATGAAAGCTCATGACAAGTTCCCAGGGAAGCCTTATCTGTACGAGAAGAGCCAAAGCTCAAACTATGCGATCTTCGCCTTTCCGGGGTTGTGGGCTGTGGGCGATTGGTACAGCCACAAGCCCTTCGGAGAGACCAAGGTTAATACTGCGTTGTTTCGCTTTCTCAAGAGTATCGGCACTGACGAGGTTGCCGTGGTGAATGCTGCGTTTTCTGCCAGATTTGAGGAGCTCTTGGGGAAAACATCACTCTCTTCTGAGGTAATTAATATTGGTTTTTACTGTCTTTTCTGGGTATGTTATTAATTTGAGCAAAGATTAGTTATTAATGGACAAGAGGAATGATTCATTTTTGCCAAGACTGTTAAAACTTTACACCATGTGCCAAATGACTGAACTTTCTGTGCAAAATCAGTGCAGTTTTTTGGTATTGATATCCTGAACTAAACTGTAAAAATGAATTGTATTTAAGGAAACTCAGATTCAGTAAAAAAAAGTATTCAAAGAAAACCCTTTACTTAGCTTTATGGGATGGCAAACATGAAATTAAATTATGATGATATCTTAATTTGGGTCATTTGTTAGGCTGGGAAAATGAGGATTTGAGATGTTTGAATTTCAGGTGCAGAAGGCGGTATCAGATGGAAAGCAAATAGTTTTTACAGGGCACTCATCGGGTGGTTCTGTAGCCATACTTGCAGCGATCTGGTGCCTAGAAACGCACTTCTCCTCCAGACCGCTAACTCCACAAAGATTCCCTTTTTGTGTAACTTTTGGTTGCCCCCTTACCGGTGATAGGATCTTCTCTCATGCTCTCAGGCGAGAGGGGTGGAGCCGCTACTTCATACATTTTGTCACGAGACATGACTTGGTCCCTCGTCTAATGCTGGCCCCTATTTCTTCCATTGAACAATGCCTGCAAACTTTCTTCGCTTTCATTTCTCCAAAATCCCGTGACTTCAAGAACGAATCTGTTGCAGCGTTTACTGATGTGTCATCGGATTTATTCGTGACTGTCATGAAGAACACTTGCTCAGTCACAAGCCGGGCTGCTTGTGTTCTCATGGGATCGACAAATTTGTTGTTGGAGACGGTCTCTAACTTCATCCAGCTCAGCCCTTATAGACCCTTCGGGAGTTTCATCTTCTGTACGGAAAATGGACAACTGATCCTCGTTGAAAATCCAGATGCTATATTGCAGATATTGTTCTTTAGTTCTCAGATCACATCAGAAGCAGAAGGCCCGGAGGTCGCGAAAAAGAGCTGGAAGGAACACCTTTGCTATGAAACTGTAATGCAGGGCTTAGAAGCGCGAAACGTGTTCGATTTCAACAATTTAGTAAAGCTTCCCTTGTCTTCGGATTTAAGTCTAGACGATGAAGCTGCTATGCTCAACGCAGCCTCATATGAACTCGGCCTGGTGAGTGATTTTTTAGGAAGACATTCACTTTCATGTGTTAGTGTTCAAATTTATGTTGTTTACCAGGATTAGAAGCTTTCTCTATTAACTAATGTTAATGTTAATGCCCAGAGCGCTCGAGCAAGGCTGTGCCTCCGTGCTGCTGGAGAGTGGGCCGAGCAGAAATGGAAGAACAAGAAAAAGGTTGATGATAACATGGGTAGCATCAAAGAAGCGCTGAGCAAAATTGCTGAGTACAAAACCAAGTGTGACGCCCGGAAAATAGGGTACTACGATTCCTTTAAGCTGCAGAAAACCACGGATGACTTCAACGCTAACGTGAAGAGGTTGGAGCTAGCCGGGATAATGGATGAGGTCATTGAGATGCTGAAAAGGTACGAGCTTCCGGATGAGTTTGAAGCAGAGGCGAACTGGGTGAAACTAGGAACCGAGTTTCGTAGACAGGCTGAGCCTTTGGATATTGCTAACTACTACAGGCACTTGAAGAATGAAGACACTGGACCTTACATGAACAGGGCTAGGCCAAAGCGGTACCGGTTTACACAAAGATGGTTGGAGCATGCAGAGAGGAAGTGCGTGGGGGAGCGTTCAGAATCCTGTTTCTGGGCCGAAGTGGAGGAGCTGAAAAATATACCAGTTCAAAATAACTCGGGTGTAATGGAGAGAATTGGGATCTTAGAGGATAAAACAAAGGAATGGTTTAGCAATGAATGGCTTGGCAAAGATATTTTCTTAGAAGAGTCCACCTTTGCCAAGTGGTGGAAAACTCTTCCTCTCAGTCACAGGCAAGGATCTTGGATCTCACATCATCTCACTGTATAAAGATTATTACTCTGTTGCTCGCACGGGCTTAGTTCAATAATTCAGTAGGCAGTATATGAGAAAAGAGACTCGGTAGCAGCAGTGTGGGGATTATATTCAAAGTGGGCAGATCCCTTGTGCGGACCGACATTTGGCCCTGTCTACTAAGCCAGAAGAAGGAAGATTATTACTCTGTCTCAATGGTCTTTGGCATTTCAAAGTTCTACCTTTCCAGTTTCTGTGTGATGGGAAAATAATTGGCGAATATGCCGCCACATTATTGTGATGCAATTGGCAAATATGCCGCCACATTATTGTGATGCAAAGTATGCAGCGTGTTTATAAAGAATGTCTCTCCATCTTTTCTACATCCTGTACAAGCAAAACTAGATAGAAAGTCGCAGAGAACAATACACCAAGTTGGGAATTCATCCTTGACATACCAGAACTTGTCGAGGAACCTTAAAATCCTGAACAGCATCAAGCAAATCTGACCATAAAAAATCATTACGTTGATAATACAAGGTTCCATCTAAACTCCATGAATGCCCAAGAAGAGAAGGAAAAAGAAATTTTAAAATAGAAATAAGCTAGGAAGAAGGGAGAAGAAAGGGTAAATGAATAATAACAATAGTTTAGTTTTGAAGTCCATACTCAGAAATTGCATTTGAAGAAATGAATTTCAAACAGCATTCAGGGAATCAGGGTCATGCTTCCTAAGAGTGCACATTCAAGAGCATACAGCTATGAAATAATGATTTTCATGGTTTAATTGAAACAAGGATAATAAAACAAACCATTTTAGCCTCCAATGTATGATAAGCATTCACACAATGAAACGTTGAAGATGATGTCCATTAAAACCTATGAATATCAACCTGTTTCTTAGAGTGCAATTGGATCCTCTGAATGCTTCACTTCTGCAGAAATCCAAGTGCATGCAAATACAAATTTAAATCTTAGCAGTTTCTTCAAAACTATGTATTGGGAGAACTTACCAGGCATGCCTTGAACCCAAAATATACATTGTCTTTATTGATTCATAATTTGATACTAGGACACAATCAAATGGACAAAGTTGTATCTTTATTTTTATCAGATTCAATGTACTAAATTTCTATACCACCATATATATTCACATAGCAATCCTTCTACAATAGCACAGATGCACCATATATCATGCACTAGAACCATAAGAGAACTAGAATATTTCCTCATGTGCTCAGAATGATGTTTCTATATCAACATCATGCTACTACAAAAAATCTGAGTATAACAAGAACACACTCAATCCACAAAGAAATAGGGACCTGACATATATGTTTATGGGGAATATAGTACTTTTAGGACCTTGAGATCATGCTGCAAGAACGAGCCAATCGGACTGCCAGGCAGCCACCATCCATGGTTGCCTCTCCATCAACGGGATCTTGGTTGTACTGCTTCCTGCAACCAGGACAGCGCCCATCCTCCTCAAGAATCCTCTTGTGACAGAAGAGGCAGAGCCTAAATCCGCATGAACAAGGTAGAAAACTTGTGTCTGTGAGATCCAAATCTTCATAGCATATGGGGCATGATGTGGGTACGGACAAGTTCTTACGCCCCCAAACAGACCCTCCGCGGAAATGCCGTCCTGAGTTCAGAGGAAAACTATACTGCTTGGACAAATTGGGAAGACTCTGAGGACGGAATGCATCATCAGGCCTCCATGCTTGGCAAATCTTAGGAAGTCCAGGTGCCAAACCTCCACTCTCTAGCTTTGACTTTGATATATCGACATCTGAAACCTGGCAGCTAGACAACTCTGATTGTGAACTTAAATGCACAACATTGTCGTTTCTATCATCCAAACATGGCCTAGTAGGCTGCTCCTGCTTCTTATCTGTGATAGCCAGAGCATCAGCTACAGCCTCCCAATCATCAAAGCACACATCATCCCGCTCCTCATCTTCTTCACTCATGCTCCTTGAACAACACCCACCACTGCTACAGCTAGTGCTACCGTTGCTCCCAGTAAAGTTTGTTCCGGAATCACTCCCTTCCAAGACAGGCAAGTCAGTGTTGTGGTGATCTTGCACGAGTCCACCATTGTCTTCTTCCCCTTCTGACTTGATCTCTAATTTCTGTAACACTTGGCCCTTCTCATTGGCAGCATCCATCCCACTACCACAAGTCCCACCTCCACCATTCAACTCCTCCTTGGCACCCTTACTCTTAACTACAGAAAAACCCCCGATCACAACAAATACAAGTAAATCCAAATACGACAAAGTAAAGAAAATAAAACAAAAACACTGAAGCCAATGTATTCCCAATCTTACCAACAGCTAAATATTATACTAGGAAGAGTGTAATACAATGAAAACAAGAACTTTATTAATACATGCAAGATACATTTATATAAATATCCTTATAACTACTACAATTATTATATTAAAAAAAAAAAAAATCTTCTACAAACCTTGTGAAAGCCATTGCTCACGACGAGCATCAAGCTTGCACTGCTTCAACTTGGCCGAACGATTAGCCTAACATTATGCAATCAAAACAAATTACGCAATCACAATCGAAAACGCAATCCAAACAAAACAATACAGAAATGCAAACACCGCGAATAATAAAATTACTCTCTTTTTCTTGGCGAAATCCCTAGGGTTGGAAGACGCCATGGGGATCGCAGGGTTGGAGATTCCATCGGAAATCATGGCTGGTGCTGCTGCTGCAACTGAGTCGACTCGGAAGAATAGGAGGAAAACCCTAATTCGATAGGAGAGAAGAGTGTCACAGGAATTTAGAGAGAGAGAGAGAAAGAGGGATAGATATAGAAAGAGAAAACGAGCGTTGAATGAAAGAGAACAGATAACGGAAAATGGCTTTCTGCTTCCTTAAAGAAACACAAATCAAAAGCCATTACCACTAGACACACATATATATACATGTATAATAGTCAGAGTTCCGAATTTGCCCTTCCCTTTGGACATCACCCCTCCTGCAAATTTCTATTTTTCCTCAATTTTCCCGACCCATTAAAGTCAATTTAGAAGTCGTGTAGTATTTTTCTACGAATTAGGACAAAAATAATTTTTAAAAATGTGTTTGCTAAATAATTTTGTTAAAAAAAAATAGTTAACACATTTTTTTTTTGAAAACCAATTAGTTAACACATTTAACCTTGAAAACATAATAAATAAATTTCTTAAAAAGTTATTTAAAACATTTAATTTATTTAAACTTTATTTTAAAAAAAAAATTCAATATACATTACTACATGAAAACAACAAAGAAAAGTTTTTTTTTTTTTTTTTTTTTTTTTTTTTTTTTTTTTTAAGTAAGTGGATAAATTTTACACATTCTTAGTCATGAAAAGAAATGGTTGCCCTTAGTTTAGAATAGCTTTCTAGCCATTTAAGAATTATATTTATAGGCCCGTATGGGTAGCTCAACTGGTCATAGAGGTGAAACTTTAGAATAATGATCAGGGGGCCACCGGTCTAGCCTCTATGGTTCGTGTGGGAGCAACCTCTCAAAGTGAGGGGGGGCTTCTTGTGCGCGGTGAGCACCGGTCTAGCCTCTATAATTCATGTTCAGTTGAGTCACCATACTCTGTCGGGCCGGAGTGTGGGGGGTCCTTAGGGTTGGGGTTCAGCCTTTTTTTTTGGAATAAGAATTATATTTATAGTTTATCTAAATTGTTTCAAATCGAAGTGCTACCACATATGGTAATAACTTTTCATTTTTTAGGTTGTTAGGAAAGTTTAAACTTTTTAAACTACGAAATATCGTTTTAGGATATATCTATCTTTACTAAATTATTGAGTCACCGTGATTTATATCCTCCCATATGCTTTGTCGGGTCGGAGTGTGGGGAGTCCTTAGGGTTGGAAGGTGGCATGAACCCTAATGACATGTGATAGCAGGTCATTAACTTGTTTTTGGGCTTCATTACACATAAATAAATTGTTGATGGGTGTAATTGCACTTTTAAAAAGTTTAGGGGCCTAATTGACTTTTAAGCTAAAGTTCGAGGGCCTATTTGACCATATTCCCTATAAAATTTAACATAAACTTTGCTCAAATAATTAGCCCGAATAAATACATAGCATTCAAAGTTGAGCATCAAAGATTATAAATCGGGAACTTTAAAAATCATTAGATTTTCTTGATTTAAAAAAAAAATTAGATTAAGTTTTTTTTAATGTTTAATTAATATTTTTTTGATTATTTAGAACAAACTTAATATTTCAATTATGCTTTTCTATTATTCGAATGATTTAGGTCATTATGATATTAATATTTTTTGTATTTTTTAATAATGGTACAATTGTACATTACTTTACAAATATTATACTATTGTTTTTTTTATCGGACAAAATTGTTCTTACATCATTATTGTCCATATTACAACTAAAATCTCAGTCATATACGCAACAATGCAAATCTAAAGCTTCCTACACCATAATCTCATTGCATGATGAATCTCTCTATGCTGCCACCAATAATCTAATGGCACATGACACACTACAAACAAAAAAATAAAAAAGAAAAGACATGTACTGAAGATGAAAACAATGACAATGCTACCCAAAAGAGAATTACCAATAATTAGAGAAATTTAAACTAAAAATAGTATTTATTTAGACTATCGCTTTAAGACTAAGTATTTAGACTAGAGTTACTACAAAGTTGTAAACATTTATTTTAGTGACAATTATAATCAATCCCTCATATATTATCTTCAATTTATATACTTTAAATTACCGATTTCAATAAACAAATTCAACATTTATTTACCTATGCATAAACATCTCCTATATAATATTGCATTGATATACTTATTTAAAAATAATCATTGGGCATTATCCCATTCGCACAAAGCGCGTAAAAAACTAGTTTATAAACAGGGTCGGACCCAGAAATTTTTTCGAGTAGGGACAAATCTATCTACTATATTAATAAGAGCCCAAGAGAGTTAGGCGTATAATGGGTAGAAAAAATGGCGGTCAAATTTTTTAATCAAATGAATGATTCAGATTGATCAGATTTTAATTTTTCCATAAGATTTCATAATTTATCCTTAATGAATATGATTATCCTTTTTAACTTTTCCGTTAAATATTATTTTTTCCGTTAATTTCTGTTAGTTCACCGTTAACTTACACATTGATAACTTACTCATTGATTTCAATAAGAAAGGTCTTAGGTTCGAACCACATCCCAATCAAAATTGACATAATTAGTACTCTATAAAAATTCTTTACATTCAAATTCATCAATTGATTATATTCGCTACATTGTCCCTACAATGTCTTTGTTAAAAAAAATATTCATTATCAATAAATAAATTAAGAGAAATAATTTTATTAGTTATTTTGTCTTTATATTTCTCCAATGTAAAAATTCTTTACATTCAAATTCATCAATTGATTATATTCACTACATTGTCTATTATCTCTTTTGTGCACTATTTTTTAATTAAATATCAAAGTTATAATACAAAACAATGCTATATATTTATTTACCAAGTATTTTATTAATACCATGAAAAAAATTAAAAAAATATAATTAATAAAGCCAATCATACTAACTACTCGAGGGATTTGTTGACAAAGAGAGTATTCAAATCACACAACAAGTTGGAGTAAGAACTATCTCGCAATGTCCTTGTTTGACAATCAGCAATTAGCGGTTAGCGTTAGCGGATTATATTAGCGAATTTGACCAGCAAATTATATTAATGGTTGGTAAAAGGATATTTGAAAAAATTAGCTGTTTAGATTAACATGTAAAATGACCTAACGATATATACATACATACATACATATATATATATATATATATATATATATATATATATATATATATATATATATATATGAGTTACTTCCATCTGAGGTCCTCCGAGTATAGTGGTTTTGCCACGTTTAGTCCTAAACTTTCAAATTGACCATCTGTGGTCATTCGACTTTCAAATTTAACCATTTGTGGTCCAAGTTAACCACTCATGGTCCTTCGAGTTTTGAAATTTAACCAGTTGTGATCCTCTTGAAAGGACCATGGTTGGTTAAAATTTAATAGTTGAAGGACCATAGGTGGTTAACTTGGACCACAAGTGGTTAAATTTGAAAATCGAAGGACCACAGATGGTCAATTTGAAAGTTTAGGACTAAACGTGTCAAAACCACTATACTCGGAGGACCTCGGATGGTATTAACTCTCTCTCTCTCTCTCTCTCTCTCTATATATATATATATATATATATATATATATATATATATATATATATATATATATATATATATATATATATATAATAATAATAATAATAATAATAATAATAATAATTGTTTAAAAAAATAAAAAAATAAAATTAAGCCAATCATATCAACTACTTGGGGATTTATTGACAAAAAGAGTATTCAAATCACACAACAAATTGAAGTTGGAAACTATCTCGCAATGTCTTTGTTTGACAATCAACAGTTAGCTCTTCAATATTAGTATATATTTAATATTTTATGCCCTAATTTTTATTTGCTCTCCCTTATGTCTCGTATTTGGTTTCAACCATACCTATACAATTATTTTATTGACAATTATAATCAATCTTGACTATATTATCTTGCATTTGTAAACTTAGAATTGTCTATTTAAATACACAAATTTAACATTCAATTATCTATGCATGAACAATTCTAATATAATATTGCCTTATATACTTTAAAGTACTTATTTAAAAAAAACATTGGGCATTATCCCACTCGCGCAATGCGCGTAAAAAACTAGTATTAAAATAAAAGAGATAGTTTGAAAAAAAAAACACTTAGGAAGCATAGCCATAAATATTGTTGGATATGAACCAAAAATAAAATACATTAAAACTTTATAAAAATATATGAAATATATTTATTTTGATAAAATGATTCGAATAGAAAACACGTTATAAATCACATTTTTCATTATTAACATATATAAAAAATAATAATTGTTGGATATGACAAAAAAAAAATATCAAAGCTTTATAAAATATATTTATAACAAAATAAGGAACAAAGTTACATTATAAATCACACATTTCATTGTTAATATATAAAAAATTATAATCCTTGGATATGGGCACAAAAAAATAAAATATATCATAGCTTTATAAAAAAATATTCAAAACAAAATATGGAACACAATTATTTTGATAAAATTATTTTAATAAAAAAACACATTATAAATGTAGCAACTAGCCATCACAATTATTTTGATAAAATGATTTGAATAAAAAGAAAAGGAATAAGGGTCAAATAGGCCATCGAACTGCACACAATAATGCAATTAGGCCACTGAACCTAAAAGGCCACTAAACTAATCAATTTCTTTCAATTAGTCTAATTTACAAGTTTTGCAGGTTAGTAACAGGTCACCCAAAAAAATTAAAATAGTTTTTAAAAAAAATTATTATTTAAAAATAATAAATTAAAATATATTAAAAAAAAGGTTTCTTCGTCCCCATGGCCGGAGACGAATAAAGTTTCTTCGTCTCCGGCATAGATGAAGAAACGTTTTTTAAAAAAAAAATTTATTTTAATTTATTATTTTTAAAAAATATTTTAAATTTTTTGGGTGACCTATTACTAACCTGCAAAACTTTTAAATTAGAATAATTGAAAGAAATTGATTAGTTTAGTGGCCTAATTGTTGTTTTTTTTAGGTTCAGTGACCTAATTGCATTATTGTGTACAGTTCGATGGCCTATTTGACCTTTATTCCAAAAGAAAAACACATTATAAATGTAGCAACTAGCAAACACACAAAATTAGGAAGTGCAATTTCAAGCCCTTAACCTTTTGTAAGTCATATGCGTGCTCTGATAATTGGATTGCACATTTATGTTTATATATATCACGTGTG